GTATATATTATTAAAATATATATTATTTTCATCTTTTAAAAAGAACTCCAATTAAGACTTAAAAGAGAGCTTATTAGATGAAGTATCAGTTTCCCTTATGATGATAATAATTGAATTGATGAATAATAAACTTCAGCAGCAGAGTGAACTAGTAACATTTCTGATGTACAGTTTCATTAAAACCAATTTAACTAAGCAGTGGGTGCACAGCATTGCACATCTGTGACCTCAGTCATGCAATCAGGGGATCTGGCCAGAGCATGCCACAAATTCCTTATGTCTCCGTTTCTGGTCTGTGGACATCAAAGCATTAGAATGTAGAGGGACTGGTGCCCATGTCTTTTCATATGTGGAGTTCGGAGACAGCTGGATTATGCACCAGCTTGGATGCAGCCTCTCTGGGTATAGCACTGAGGCACATAAATAGACAAATGACAGTATCATGTGGATAAAAATACTGCTATCAGGGAACATCACTACCTATTCATGCTTTCCTTATCCAGCAGTGCTCTTCTGAACACTTCTTTTGCATCCATTTCTAATTCAAAGATTTTCACTGGAATTATCTTAGCTGATTCCAAGAGGATTACTTGTTTTCTTGTTACAGGATATCCATCAATTACAACTCTGCATACAAACAGAAACAGAAAGACAGTTTTCCCAAGAAGTCAGTTTCTCATTAACCGTTAAGACCATGTATGTTCCTAGTACATGCTCAAAAGAGACAAAAGTCTATACCCATGCCATGAAGTTATCGCTGCCCTGACTTGATAGACACAGTCTTCACTCCTAAGAATTTACAGTCAAACTGAAAAAAAAATTGAGTAGATAGAATAAGAAATAGTAAAGACTAAAGGAAATACACAAAGGGCAAAAGGTATAGGAATGGAAGTGGATGGCTCTGACTTACAAAAAATGGTGAACTTTAAAATTCTGACACATCAGTCATTCAGAAACATAATTTTAACTATGGGAGACCTCCATATGGATTGGGAGGAGTAGTTTTCAAAGTGAAAAGTAAAACGATTTACAGTACTTGAAGAGTTTTTTTAGTCATACTGAAGAAGAAATGCTTTTCATGTATGAGGCAATACGGGGCAAAATGTACTGAAACAATATTCTGGTATTTAACATGAAAGAATAGTTGAAAGAATTCTGATCTTAAGCTCAAATAATTTTCAGAGATTATTCCAGAATTGCCTTTCCCTGTAACAATTCTCCTTTTTGGGGAGAGGAGTTGAATGTCATGAAATCATGATCATGAAGCTTTTTAAGTCTGCCCAGTATGGAAGGTGTTTCAGTGGTGGAGAAAGAGCCTAGGAAATCAGGATCCACATATGAATGAGGTGGAAAGACTCACTGGTTTCAGTTCCTCCTTAATAACTTCAGTTGTTAACAAAAACAGAAAAAATCTTGAGTAGTCTGCATGACCAAAGAGGATCAGATGTGTCCAAGTTGGTGCTAGAGTTGGTGTAAGAGAGATAAAATGGTAGTTCTCAAAGGATAATAGAAAATACTGGCTTTATTGACTGAAAAAAGGGTAACTTTCATAAAGCATATTACTTGGATTTACTGGAATATACTTAACGTGAAAATTGCAGAAAATTATGCTTCAGTCTGGTTTCCCAGAGTGATGTGAAGAACCTCATTTTGTACGGATTATTTTCTTAATGCATAAACCACTGATGTGTTTTAGTGAAATTGTTTTACAGTGATAACATGGGACTCACTGCCTATAAAGGGACTGGCGTGTCTTGAAAAAACCCCCGAAACCCAAACAAGACTCTTACCCGGTGGTATTACACACGTGATTCATCAGAGCCACATCTAGAGCCTGGATGGCCAGTTCATCAGGTACGGTCAGTCCTTTGTGAAGATGCCACTTTAACAGAAGTGCCAACTCACTCTCTGGCTGATTGTTTAACACTAGCCGTATGGCATCTCCCATACTCAGGCGCAGTAGCCCATATACGCTTGCAAATTTCTTGGCAACTGCAAAACAGTTTGATTTCAACACACAACTTTTACGTAAGCATCTTCACAACCTAGCAGTCTGTTAAAGTATGCCCTTAGCCTTATAAGCTAACTGCTCAGCTCATTCCCTGGGTCATTTCCAATGCATAATCTTGGTAAGTGCGTACCTAACCCTGCTTAGGCCCCTAAAGGGCCCAAACCTTTGCATATGTGCAGAGTGTGCCCAAGGCACTAACAGCGTTCAACTCGGCACAAACCTCAGCAGCAATAGTCAATATTATTGTGAAATATCTTAGAAAATATACTTGCACTGCTGCCCCTTTTACAGAACAGCCTGGCAGTTAAATCCAGGGAATGGGAAATATGGTTAAAATTTCCTCCTTGATATGAGATAATTTGAACCCATCTCTTCTTTTTCTAACACCCCGTTCTAATCATTATGCTATAATGTAAGCTGAATTTTCTCCTCCTCCAGTTAAAGGCAGAGACAGGTGGATTGAAAGAGTCACGGAGGAAGAAGAAGAGGGGAGAAAGACAGAAATCTTGGGGGTTTTTAACCTAGAAGTTTGGAAACAGGCTGGGGAATGTGGAGTTTTGGGTTCTGATCCTTGATCCTAGGAATATTTCTTCATTTTGCATTAGATCATATTGATGGAAAGAAATAAGAAACAATTAGAAAATAATCAGAAATAATACAAGGGGTATAAATAGTGTAAGTCCAGATTTTCTAAGTGCCAGTCCACATCATTAACTTCTTAAGAAGCTGGGTTAAAATTCAGGTGGGCAATGCATATGTATCTGACTGTCAAATGAGACACTAGAGAATGTAAATAAAAGATCCTATGCCCAGCAAGAAAAGCAGGAAGACCAACAATATTAATGGTTTATGATTTTTTAATAGCAGTAATGACAGATGCAGCTTCAGTCATTAGATAAGGTTTTGCTTTATAGATAATACTGGCTCCTACCTGTAGTCTTTCCAGATTTTGGAGGTCCCACAATTGCAATCTTAACTGGCACAGCTGGTTTAGGTTTTGGCTGACGAATATATTTGATGGGATTTTTCATAAATGTTTCTTTATTTTCTTTACTTGAAAAGAAATAAATATATTGTCGATGGATTACAGGAAAGACTGGGTTTTCATGGCTTTGTTGTGGCTTGATTACATCTCCTTCACTTAGCTGTAGCATATACAAAATGGGAAGCAGTTAATTAGGTTTGACAAAGCCTCCTCTCCCTCCGTTCTACGGAAGTGGCTTTATAGGCAGATAGAGGAATATCAACTGTATGAAGCAAACCATCAAAGCATTCTCAAATCTATACATATGGACACAGTATTTTGACCAAGTCTGAGGAACTTCCATACCTATGCAATTCGTGTACAAAAAGATGAAGTAAACATTGAAGACAGAAAGAATATTCACTATTTCCAGTAGGTGGTACCATAACACTTTCTGTCCATCAAGAGAGTGTAGTCAGAGAGGTATAGCAATACTTTTTAATTTTCAAAGAATAAAGGAAAGAATTTTATTCCTTGTCCTGGTTTTGGCTGGGATAGAGTTAATTTTCTTCCTAGTAGCAGGCATAGTGCTGTGTTTTGGATTTACTAGGAGAAGAATGTTGATAACATGCTGATGTTTTAGTTGTTGCTGAGTACTGCTTATGCTAGTCAAGGACTTTTCAGCTTCCCATGCTCTGCCAGGTGCACAAGAAACTGGGAGGGGGCACAGCCAGAATAGTTGATCCAAACTGACCAAAGGGCTATTCCATACCATATGACGTCATGCTCAGTATATAACCTGGGGGGGGGTTGGCCGGGGAGCAGCAATCGCTGCTCAGGAACTGTCTAGGTATCGGTCGGCGGGTGGTGAGCAATTGCATTGTGCATCACTTGCTTTGTATATTATTGTTGTTGTTATTATTATTATTATTATCCTTACTATTTTACTTTCTTTCAATTATTATACTGTTCTTCTCTCAACCCAGGAGTTTTTCTCACTCTTACTCCTCCGATTCTCTCCCCCATTCCATCAGGGTAGGGGGAGTGAGCGAGTGGCTGCGTGGTGCTTAGTTGCTGGCTGGGGCTAAACCACGACAGTCCTCTGTGAATTAAGACCACTTATCTGCCTGACAGTAGAACATACACTGAGAATATTGTATTTAGCAGAAGTCATGTACAAATGAAGAAAACAGAAAAGAATATCAACACGTTATGGTGAAGTGTAAAACCACAGCAAGGCAAGCCAAAACAGCTTTTGGTAAAATACATACACTGCTGATGAAATCTTTTCAAACACACCAGACAGCCTGCTAGAGAGTCTGTAGTGTTGATGGATCATTGAGATATAAGAGGAGCACTAATGGCAGAAATGCTAAATGAATTCCTTGCACCACTGTTCACTATGGAAGAACTTAGTCATGTCCCTGTTGCAGCCCTTCTTGGAGAACTGCCTTAAAGTGTCAATAAAAGATGTTGTAGAACAAACTGTTGACATCTGTAGAAAAAACTGCCCAGACCAGATGGCATTCACCTTACAGTTCTAAAGGGACTCAGAAGTGAAATTGTTACTGACTTAATGTGTAACCTATTGCTTACGTTGGCCTTCCTTCCACAAAAAAGGAAGGTGGAGAAAGTGACCAGTTTTTGAAAAGGCCTCCAGGATGGATCCTGGCAAACATAGTCCAGTAAATCTGACCCTGTATTGAGCAAGTTGAAATATATTAAGGAAAAAAACCCCAGTAGTTACAGGCATACATATGAAATAATGGGGAAGAGCCAACTCAGCTTATTGTAGAGGGAAATCATACCTTACAAATCTATTAGTATTCTTTGAAGGAGTCAGTAAATACAGGTAAGTTGATCTGGTTGTTACAGTAAGAGATGGGACTGTTCTACTGCTTGGCATTACCTTGTCAGACCCTTCTCTGATTCTTAGGTTCCTATTCCTGCATCAAGTCATTTCAGGGTGCTTGCCCTCAATTTATAAGATACCAGGAGTCTGTTCTGCTGTATATCTACTCCCATTCCTCCCTCACCTCATCATTTTTATTCTCTGCTTATCATCTAATCAGTTGCATAACTACTTCCCTCCCCCCCAAATTTAATCTAAAAGTAATTGGCATATACTCTATCTGCCTTTCTACAAAAAACCTCCAGTCCATAATCAATGTCATCATTTCTATTATATCCTAAAATACCCTCAAAATGATCCTCTCTCCCTTTCGTTATTGTCAGCACGTATGTTTCCACTGTCAGCACGCCACTCTGATTTTATCTAATAGCTTTCTATGACTTCTTTCTTCTAACTGAATTTACTTTTTGGTTGGTAAAAAAACACTGTACAGCATAAATGAATGAATTGGAGAAATGGAATGACAAAAATGTAGCAAACAAAGTACATGGTGTAGTGTGTAGGGACTAACAAGAATTAAACATGTAAGCTGGGGTTCAGTAATTGGAAATCACAGAAGAGAAGAAATATCTACCTCAATTAATATGTCCCTAGATTATTAGATGCCGATTTGATGCAGCCATGAAAAAAACAATTCTGATCCTAAAACATTTTAAGTATTTTGATTATATAAAGCCATAATAAGAGCTGACCTGTATACAGCTCTGATTGCCAAGGTTAAAGAAAGATAAACGTGATCTGGAACAGGTCAAGAGCCGACATGATGACTATACAAAAGGGAATAAGTGTTACTCAATTAATTAGCCTAGTAAAATGAAGGCCAAAGTATGTTTCCTTCAGGAACTTAATGTTTTCTGTATCTTGTTCACGGGGGTTTTTTTAATCAATCCTCCTTTATATTTCTGATTTACTCACAATCCAATCTGCTTTTATTTCTAGCATTAAAACCAAAAATTTACCTACTAACATTTTACTTACTATAAAACTGTATCAGCCCACTTTTGGGGATAGACATGAGTACTTTCTGAGCTTGACTTTCCAAATCTCTAGTAAAATACTATGGAATTCAATTTGTTGCTCTTCAAAATTTGTAAATTTTGACAACAAAGAATTATTGCCAATGAATTACATACATTTAACATTTGTTGGTTTACTTTTTGCCACTGCTAGTGTTGGTGGCCACCTCTGTGGCTTCTTACAAATTCAAACCCCAAATTGTTTCAGTTTGTTTTCACTGCTTCTGGAAGGCTTTAAGACTTTCACTGTTGTCCGGTGTTTTGTGTATCAAGAATTAGGCATTTCTTTCTGATTCACTGCCACCTTTAATTGTGTTGCCAATGCTAATGTAACAGATTTTACTAAATGCCTCTCAACCTTGATTTAGCTGCAACACTGAAAGGACTAACACCTTTTATTATCAATGCCTGCTGTATTTTGTGTATATTCAGTGGTGTAGTTTTGATTCAGTGGTGTAGTTTTCATTAAATATTTCTGGTATTAGTTGCTACTGTCTAATAATATTTTTTTATGTGAAATATATTTTTAAAAATATTACTTCTTGAAAATATTCTTCAGCTATTTAAGAACATTACCTTGATAGGATCCCACTGACCAAAAGAACTTGGAAATTTATATGAGAAAACTAGCATCTTATGTGCAAGTGGCAAACTTATTGGGTAACATTTCTCAAAAATGCTTCCACGATTTTCCATTAGAGAATTCAGCTGGGTATAGATTTGGTAGAGTACGATGTGAGGCTTCCGTCCTCCATTGATCTCAATTTGTGGTATTAACAATTTTTCAAGTTCTTCCTGGTTAATGAAAACATAATGAAGTATTAGAATCATAAACACGATCAGATTTTTAATAATGACTGACAGCAAGATTTTCTGTGAACTATCAAGAATTTCTTGAGCATGTTCTAAGTCACTGTAAATCAGCAAAATTTGATTTGAGATAGGAATTGGTCTTCCTGCTCACTGAAGTTTAAATTATCCAGCATATATTAAGTATCACACTTTTTTTTAAATTAAAAAAAAAAAAAGGACAATCTTACAGTTAACTTTGAGGAATCTATTATGATAAAGCTAAAGCTTAAGAAGTATCTTTTATTAAGAAAATAATA